TCACGTATGCGTTGCGCTAGTTGTTCATCATGAATTTGTTGAGCGGATTTCACGTGTTTAGCTGTCTTCTTACGAAGCTGTTTAAGATTATCAATCGGGTGCTTAATTATAATAAAAAACGCAAATCATTAGATATTTTAGAAGCTTATGAAGGCTTACTACCTAAAATGTAGCCGCAACATTATTTTTAGATAAAATTAAAGCATAGGGTTTGATTTTAAAGATTTCAGACAATCGATTGAAAAACTTAAAAATAGTTTTAACATCGTATATTTGAAATCACTTTAAGGGTGAATGTTTACCAATATTTCATGTAATAAATGTAGCCTAAATATCGAGAATGGACCCGGAAAAATCCAAGAAAAATACAGTGGTAGTTATCATGGAAAAGAATATCTCTTCGTAGCTATCTCCCAAAACTGATGACCCGTGACGCGAGTAACTGCAGCCTTCAGACAGTTAGCACGTCATCAATGTAGACTACTACAGCTACCTTTCTATAACTTGCTACTAACATTTGCCATAGTCTCTAGTTTGGAACCTTTACATTATGCGGATTACTCACGACACTGCCACAGCATTTAAGCTCAGTATCGTGTCAAAGCTGATTTAGTGAGAAATAACAATAGCTAGCTAATCTCAGCATGAAAAAAGATAGCTTACTCGTGCGAGTACTTTTTATTGGAGGGGCGTAATGTCAGTGTGGCTATCATAGAAGAAAATATATTTGACAAAAGCCGTGACGAATCACGTCAGCGGGACATTTTCAAAAGTTTGCAAACATACAAGTTCTGAACATAACGTTCAGATGCTCCGTCTACCGAACATTGACACCCGGTAGAAGATCCGATGTCGAACTAATAAAATAAGTAACAAAACAAATTGGGTTTACGAAATCGGTTTTCTTACCCTTTTCGGTTTGTCCTCCTCTTTCTCACGCTGTTTTCTGGCGTAGTCCTCTTGATAGTAATCGAATATAATACACTGTAGCGCAGTACTGCCGTAATTGGCTCTCGGTGGTGGTATAGTTTGAGTGTCCACACTCTATATCGGATGAAAAATGTTTTTTTTAAATACCATTAATTGTAATGGTACTACTATCTCAGAAAATTTTATGAAAGTACAAAAGAATTTAGTGGATAAATGATAAAAAAAAACAATACGTATAAACAAGCAAGGCGAAGAATACTTAAATTTATAAATAAAGAACTACTTTTTTAGGCCTTGGTCGTCCTCTACTGGACATAGCCAGTCATAATAACCAGTTCTGCCCAGCTTCCATCTAGCGGATTCCAGAACTAGACAATTTTCTTAAATCTTGACGTAGATTTACTATTTATTACTTGAAAGCGAGCGTTGTAAAAAATTTTGAAAGCAGTACAGGTTAAATAGGAACTACGTAATAAATCGATTGGGAAATAATTGAGAACATTCAATTCTAAATAAAGTATTTTTTTAAACTAATGGAAACTGACCCTTCTGGGGAAGTTGTAAGTAAGAGCTGCTCGTTCACAGAAATTGAACTGATTTGCCAATTTCTTCACACGAGGCTTGATTTCAAGTACTTCTTCTCCTGTGTCTTTCGATTCATCTTCTGTTATAAAATAAACCCAGTCAGTCTTTTAATAGAACTGTTATGTTTAACTCCATTCATCAAAAAGAGTTTCAACGCGAACCGTTTTCAAATTTCGTTAAAGCGGCTAAGAATATTCTATAATAGTTACAAATATACTTTCTAATAGCAATCAAATTTCTGTTTTTTAAATTTTATACTAGTTTTAATCACTTACTTTCATCTCCTTCCGGCTCCTCTCCAACATCTCCTGCCGTAGCCTCTAAATCATCAGCTACAGGTTCTGGTTCGTGTGGACCTTCTACAGCTTCACCAGGTTTCTCTTCATCTGCTACTGCATCCTCTGTGAGATTCAGAAATATTCGATTATAATAATATCAAAACTAGCCGTACTCGCCCGCTTCGCTGCGCATTTAAAATTAACATTATTATTTATTGTCATTATTATTAGGCAGTCCAACGCTCGTATAAATATTAGCTTATCCATTAGTTACATGTATTTCCTATATGGATACCAAGTTTCGAGTCAATCGGATGCATGGTTCAGTAGTTATAACGGAACATCCGTAAAAACCACTGTATATTTATATATAATATTAAGTATAGATGACATAAGTTTTATATTAAGCTAGTAAAGCATGGTCACGCTCCTACATGACTGTGGCTAATTCTGTTTCGTTTTTAAGCGATACCTGTGGCAATATATTAGTATTTATATCAAGCTATTTGAAGGTTATCTCTTTAATTAATTAGCTTGTACCTTCAGCTTTAGCCTCCTCAGGTGGCTGTGGTTCTGGTTCGGGTTCTTCTTCCTCCTCCTCTTCAGCGGCAGACTTTTTTACCTTGGCCCGTTTTGGTCCAGCATCATCAAAGCCAACCATACCTTTCCGAAGTTATTAATTTAATTAAAAGACTTGAAAATTCATTCTAGATACCGAACAAAGGTAAATAAATTTTAATCAAACATTTTGAAAAAGACAATTTACATTCTCTTTTATCATGTAGTCTTCGTAGTTTTTTTTTCATTAAGACCGGTCAATGAGCACTCCTTGTTTTAAGTGGTCACCTAAGGAGCCCAATATCATTAACCATAACAATAAATAAATAAATAAATAAATGCTGCCCACCTACCCACCTTGAGACATGAGTTCAAATTATATATCTTAGTTCTATTGTATAGCTTGCCCCGCCCTTCCTATAATAATACCACACAGCAGAAATAATTAAGGATGTGGTATTCGTCCGGTCTCACAAGAGATCCGACCAGCAGCAAAAACATTTCTTTTTGAAGGTTAACCACGATTTTAATTTATTAACCTTACTTAACGGACCTTACACCTCTGATTTAATGTTAAACATACTTTAAAGACTGTATTTCTACACACCATATCCTGCAGCAATTTGTGCTTTAGCTTCTTCTGAATCTTTCCTAATAGCCGTCCCCTGATAAATATATAGGGGGTACGCTTTACCGAAGGTCGGCTTTGGCTTGGCGACAAATCTTCCTAGCCCGTAATGATAAGCCACTTCGTCAGCTACCCAATTAGGATTTATTGTTGTTAAAACTCGGCCGACTTCTTCATCTAGATCCTACAACAATAAAGTAGACTACAAGATTGATTTTTATTACATTAAAATTTTAGCTTGTAACGAAAATTGTAGTAATTTTCTAAGTATGTTCTTTTAATTTATTTTCTATTGAATGAACTATTATTCTTTATTCCTTCATCCCAAATTTGTTATGTCTTTTTGAAATCAAAGCTCCCACGTAAATAGCATATTATACAAATGCTAATCAATCATTATACAGTACCAAAAAATCTAAGCTCTCAAGTTAGAACGATTTCGAGAATATATAAATTACAAACACATTTAGCACTAGTTTAATAATAAATACGCCACTGTTGTTAGATATCTTAGTGTTTATCAGTATCCAAAGAATTGGGAATGGGATTTTTTATATATACTATATTTAGTTTATACAGAACGTGCTGATTTGTAATCAATAATAATTGTTAAATTTCTAAATTAGCTTTTAGTTGAATTTTTTTTCTTACAGCTTCCGGTACATCTTCTTGATCATCAGGCTTAATGAGAGCTCTCGGCTTAAGCCACTCCAGAGCTTCATCTTCAATTAAATTACCGCGGGACTTGGACGCAGCGTCTTTCTGCTGAATAGCGTGTTGATTAAAACAATGAAGCTTAATTACATAAAACAAAACTAAACGCGCCACTACGCACATCTAAGCACTGTATTGTTTTCTTCAAAAGCACTTTTTCTTCTTTCACATTAAGTGCACGTTTTATCATGGCCTTCAGCATTTTGCTTTCAAAATTTGCCCACGTTCGCAAATAAAGAGATCACGTAAGTCTTCGCCGCCAGCAAGGGTAACACTGCTTTCTTTACGAAGCGTCTGACGGATTCGTGGGGCTTTACGAGTAAATGTTCCAGAGACATTTGCATATTGTTTGATAGGTCTTTATAGGGCTTGATCATGTAACTCGACTATAAATAATTTAAGGCACTTTTCGCTGAGCGAGGCAAGCGTAAACAGACTATTAAACATTGCGTGTCTCAAGCATGCACCGACTGTTTATTTGTTTTCCTAAATTAGGCAGCCTTCGATTTTATTACAGACAAAACGATTACAAGGTACTTACGTCAGAATTATCTTCGAAATCAGTCGACATAGAAATTTTAAAATAGAATTTCTCTAATGTTTCATGCTTGCGTTTACTTTGAGAAAGTGTTAACGGCACTGCATTGGCACTGTCGGTACCTAATGTACCCTATATCTAGCTACCCAAGCATTAACTTGGTTTACAAGTAAGGCTATCAACGCAACATTTGTTTGAAAAATGAGAATTAGCCGCTACTGCTTTTCATGAGCTTGGTTTTTATTGTAGTATTTTTGTTGAACTGGTTTTTGTTGAATGTAAATACTACAAAAAGGAAATCGGAACAGTTTTCTTAATTTTTAATCCTTATAATTTATAAAGCATAGGATAATGTTTCTATCTAGTTATTAAATGATTTATTAATTATTATTTTTCATTTGTAATTGGGGACCTTAACATCGAGGACTATGCGTGTACGTGACACTTTTAAATATAATTTTAATTAGACGTATATTTGTCCACCATAAAACATCATTTTTGACACACTTATGTTTTGAGGATTATGGACCTAAATAAATAAATATATACGTATGATTAATCGACGTGAATAAATAAATAAAAAGAAACTTTTTCACTGTCCGTACAAAGTTGCAAAATTATTTTCTACGATCGTGTCACCAAATTCTAATTAGCCCCCGTGTCTGGCATCAGGTAGTACAGACTACAGAGTACAAATATAAAATCACAAAACAGCAATATACACAATTTACAATGTAATTTAATCACTTTGTTTGTCATTTGAGCTGGGCCTCTTAGACAAGCAAGACGCGTATAGTATTATCTAGAGAATATCACAAACGCGTACATACATTCAATACATTTTGGGGGTGATGCCCAAGGAAATTAGTTTAAAAATAATCATGAGTGAACGAATACAGCAGACGTGTTAGAGGTGAAAATTTTATTAACTTCTGCTTTTCATTTTGTATCATGTTATTTTGGGTGTGCGTTCAAGAATAGCGGACCAGTCGTTTCACTTCGCGATTTGTGTTGTGAAAATACTCCTTCAAGCTCCGATAAAAAGTCGTACGAGTCTTTGATCCAATGTATTCGAGATATATCGGGACAGTAATGTAGAAAACGTGCAAAAACAAATTGTTTTATTGAAAAAGCATAAAGTTTTACGAGTATGTTCCTCCTTGTGCGTCACTATTGCGTGTCGTATGTGAAATGATTGTGGTGAACTATCGATTAGGCAGTATTGTGCGATGATAACTGCTATTGTGATAATTAATTTATTTAAATCCGTATCCCGATGTGACGCCGGGCCCATCGGCTTAAAGATTTTGTAACGCATTGCTTCTTCTGTTTATAGCCGACGGTGAGTGTATGTAATATAAAAATACATCAGTATTATTGAAAAAATGCATATCATTGTAAGTTTAGTACATTTAGAGGAGGAATTTACAGTAAAAGACAGCGCCCACTACTATCAAAATACTTGTATGTATATAAAATAAACCTATGAGCCAAGAGTAACAAAGTGCAGGTTCCCGTGGTAGAATTGAAAAAAAAACCTCCAAAAGTATTTTGTTTCATTTTTTCTTAGGCTAAATCCTATACATGTCTCTCTCTTTTGGTCTAGCTTTTGGAGTATCATTTCCGTTTCATCAAATTTCAGATCAATATGATGTTAAATTTAGTCTTCATTCGAAAAAAAATATCTATATGTATCTATTTGTATTAATGTAAATATCGGGATAGTACACATCTTCATGTTGCCATGTTCCAAATTTCAAGAAATTTTATTTGAAAAATTATTTCACTTTGATTCTAATGTCTAAAAGCCTCGAACAAAAGCTATTATTAACTAAACATTTCTACTTAATTGTTATATTCTATTTGAGTCGACTATTATCAAAGGCGGCAATCTGACTTTTGCACAATGATTGGTAAATCAGAAAACCGAATTATTGACTTTGTATTCCATTGGCAGTCACAAAACTCTTCGGAACGACATCTTAGATAAATAACAGGTTAACTATTAACCTTTATTTAATGCAGGTTTTGAACCGTATTCTTTGAAGGAGACGATTATATTCAAATAAATCTGTATTGACATATCAATAAAATTTTTTTGTCCAAATGCACAGATTGCCACCTTTGATAATAGANTTATTGACTTTGTATTCCATTGGCAGTCACAAAACTCTTCGGAACGACATCTTAGATAAATAACAGGTTAACTATTAACCTTTATTTAATGCAGGTTTTGAACCGTATTCTTTGAAGGAGACGATTATATTCAAATAAATCTGTATTGACATATCAATAAAATTTTTTTGTCCAAATGCACAGATTGCCACCTTTGATAGTAGACGACTCATTTATAAGCACACAAAAAGCGTTATTTGGTCTCATGTTGACAGGGTCACTTCGTGCATTGACGTACACAAAATAATACTAAGAATAAAAAGAATGTGAAGTAAAACATATTGTACGTGTATTATAATAATTGAAATGGGCTTATATTTATTATATTGTAATTATTTTCCTCGCTAATCTTCGTTCGGTGGTTTTATTTCTGTTACAATATAACAAAGTATTGTCAGTTTTGTTTCGTTTTTTTTTGTGAAGTTTACCAATTTTAAACAACGTTCAATCTTGGGTTTAAAATTAAATCAAAACAATAGAAAATCATTGCATTATATTTCGATCGATTACTGTTCTAGAACATTCTACAAGCCGTCATGAACATTCGTATAAAACTTCCGTATTAGTAAGGTAATACGGATGTTTTTTAAATTGCAAATAATTGTTCAGTCCCCTATTCACATGTCAATTTTTCCACTTTGTAACCCAAAATTGATCAAAATCAAGGAAAATAAATATATACTACACACATATATGTACTGTTTGTATGTATTTATTTTGTATACATTTAGGAAATTTACATTTCAACTACGCGCTTTGACGCACAAGGGAATGCAGACGCACACAAAATCACAAGGTCGTATTTACAATGATATGTGACGCACAACATTTGCCCTAAGTCCGGTACTCACTTTCAGACGTTTTAGTAGAATGCCAAGCGATTTCTCTGTGGATTTACTCCGCCATAAGTCTGGCAGTCTATGCTTACTCGAGCCTTGCGGGCTAGGAATCTAGATCAGGCAGCAAAACACCGTTACAATACCATAATCATACAAAATCTATACTAATATAATATTATAAAGAGGAAAGATTTGTTTGTTTGTTTGTTTCGAATAGACTCCGAAACTACTGGACCGATTTGAAAAATTCTTTTTCCATTAGAAGCCGATATTGTCCCTGATGAACATAGGCTACTTTTTTTTATTTTTTTTTATTTTTATTTTTTTGTTTCATGTGTGTTTTAATGTTTCCGAAGCGAAGCGAGGGCGGGTCGCTAGTAATATATAAATCTATAGTGGTTTTTACGGATGTTTCGTTATAACTACTGAACCATGCATCCGATTAACTTGAAACTTGGTATTCATGTAGAAAATACATGTACTTAATGGATAGGTTAATATTTATATGAGTGTTGGACTCCCTAAACCAGTTGCGGGGGCTTTAATGATGAGTTTCTTTGTGGGGGTGAGAAATAATAATGTTAATTTTAAACGCCCAGCGAAGCGGACGGGTACAGCTAGTCATACAAAATTTAGAATCACGTTTAAATAATATGTTCTTGCAAAGCAATTTATAAATAGTTCTGGGTAGCTTGTTCTATGTTTAGCCCTAAATATTGCTTTTGTATCATTCTAACAGATAACTATGAGATATTGTTTAGGTGAATAGATTTCAAGTCTACTGTGATAATATATATTTTTCTGTTTTTATTTATTCGATAAACCATTACGAAAAATTTAAAAGACCAATATTGACGGGCATATCGATTCGACATTATCCTAGTAAAAACATACCTAAGACGTGTTTACAAGAGACTTCCATTGTAATAAAAGTAAAAGTTTAACTTAAAAAAAAATAAAAGTTTATGTAATTCGCGATGTTGAAGACCAAATTTTTATAAAATAGTTAGTACAGCCTTTTTTTTTTCGGGCCGGGGGCCGAACCTCCTACGAGGTCCCCGCGCCTAGGGGGCGCGCGGGGTATGTGAGACTCAACGATCTGCAGGTGTTGAGAGCAGATCGCGGACCCAAGGATTTTAGGGCCCACCCACTAAACGACTCCCCTGCACTCTTACACCCGACGTCCGATCTCCGTCCGAGGTCAGAACCCGGTCAGAGTAGAGGGGTTCCCGCGGTCAACACTACAACCAGACAGACACGCGGCGCCACCCCGAGGACGCCCGACCGACGGGTCGTCGAGGTGATAGTCGACGACCAACGACGTCGGTCTCCGCCGTACGGCGGCCCTACCAGGCCGGCCGGGCGGTGCCGCTGGTGTTCCGGGATACCCCGCTGGGCCAGAACCAGCCTGCCGGGTCGGAACGCGAAACACCGCCGACCGGGTTGCTCTTCAACAGTATGTTCGGCGACGACAGCGACGACGAAAATGCGGACCGCATCGCAGTCCGCAGCCGCCGACGCGCCGTCCCGTCCTCCTGGTGCCAGCGCGCTAGAGTGACGGTAGCGTGCGGCACAGCCTCAACCCCCTTAGGACGCCCCGTGACCATCACCGGGAGGAGACTGCCTCCTCATAGGGGCCGGAGCTGGACAAACGCCCTACTCCGACCCCCGGCTCGACGGCGGCGGCACGGCGCCGAGAGGGAAGAAGAGCTCTCCCTCTCCCGTTCCGCCGCCTCCTTCTGCGAGATGGTGGATTCGCAAAAGTCGAGCATCGCCTGCCAGGACTCGTCGCTGCCGAGCATCGCAGCTTGCAGGCGATGCTCGACTTCTGCGAGTCCACCATCTGTGCTATCGTGCTAATTCTGCCGCGATTTGAATGGTGGAATAGCCGTTATTATAATACAATTACTTTTACTTTAAGGTATCTCAAGCTAATCTATACAGCATAATAGTTTATTAGTATTAGTAATTTATATAGTAATTAATAAATATCACGTCCCGTGGAAGAGTATAATTTTCATACATATTTTAATATATTTATATATAAAACTTCATATCATGCTGTTTGTCCGCAATGAACTTCTGAATTAATGAACTGACTTCGATGAAACTCGCACTCTCTGTGTAGTTTAACCCAACTTGAGGGATAGGAATATTTTTATATAAAGTTATTTGTTTAAGACATGACAATTATCATTATCTGTAAAAGAATTACAGATAATTTATTTAAGAGAACATTTTTTTAATACCGCCGTCGCGCCGGTATTAAAAAAATATTTAAATACAGATGAATGTTTGTTCTCTGTGCGTCTGAACTTTTGATCCCATTTTGATGAAATTTGGTATTATTATAGTTGTGATTGGTGGGAAAGGTTCTTTATTAGTACCTATGTACAATAGATGCCACGTGAGTACTTTCAAGTAATATATGTTTTTCATATAATTAGTACACAGCCACAGCGAAGCGCGACCGGATTTCAAGATGTACCTTGTTGAAATAGAGCTTGAAGAATACAAAACTCTTAGAATTATATTTTTTTATCGAAAAGAGACGATCGTACCGATTGCTTTATAGTAAGCGGTTACCGTGCTGGAGTCATGGTCCAGACGGCTGGCTGATCCTTCGGCTGGTCGTAGGACCGTCGAGGCGATTCGCCCGGTCCTTGTGGATTGGGTGAATCGTGACAGAGGACGCCTCACTTTCCGGCTCACGCAGGTGCTCACTGGGCATGGTTGTTTCGGTGAGTTCCTGCACCGGATCACAGCCGAGCCGACGGCAGAGTGCCACCATTGNAGATTAATTTTGTTGAAACACTAAACGAAATTTTGGAAAACTAAAATCAATTTAATTCGGTGTAAACTTCATAATTTAGCTATTTTAGAATAATTTTTTTTATTGCTTAAAAGGGTGGAGCTGCTCACAGCCCACTTGATGTTACATGGTTACTGGAGCCCATAGACATCTACAACGTAAATGCGCCACCCACCTCGAGATATAAGTTCTAAGGTCTCAATATAGTTACAACGGCAGCCCCTCCCTTCAAAAAGAAACGCATTACTGCTCTACGGCAGAAATAGGCGGGGTGGTGGTACCTACCAGTGCGGATTCACAAGAGGTCCTTTAATGGAAGGCGTGTGAACTACTCGCCTTAGCAAATGGCTTTAAGAGCTAAATAAGTTGGTATACTTATTCAAATAGAAATACCTATACAAAACATACTTTAATTAAAACAGATGACGTCCCACGCCAAGTACATTTTGTACGCGCATAGTAAATATTTGTTGCACGTCTCTAGGCTCGTGTTCAACACAAATAACATGATAAAATTCTAACATTTTTGTCTCTGTGTATTTAAGGCCAGATATTCTTACATGATAACAGTATCCAATTATTAGAAACAACACATAATTAATCAGAAGATCGCGAAATGATTTGTAGAAGTTGTTATCGAAATGTTGCCAAATAGGTATGTCAATTAGCTTATTACTTCACACGGGAGATAATAAAAAAATATGCATGCATCATAAATAAATCAAGAAAAATCAGTTAGGTAACTATTTCTTAGCAACTCAGCTCTGTAGGTGTGTTATTATTAAATAGGAATACAAAAAAAAAATTAAAACATTTATTTTCTGCCTTTACAAGACATTTCAAAAAAGAAAGAGAAAATGTAAAATAAAATTGATTTAATAAACTTGAGATGTCAGTGATGATGACCGAATTTCCACCATTAGGCGAACACTAGTTTCAAATCATTTGACGTGTAAAATCTACATGCTATGTACCTACATACATCTCTAGGGAACGCAGGGAGTGGCTGCCAGCGCCATTTGCATTTTAATGCAGGTTCACGAAACACAATAATTACAAAAACTACCTATATACATGTATTACTACCATATTTCGTTTATTTACGGTAATAAATTCCCGTTTATATTTCGTAAACAGTCTCTTGGCACCGTTTACATTACTACTTATTTATTATTCATTGGTAGTAATCGACCAGCTAGATTTTACGATCTAAGTCTCTCATAAACTCGATCCGTATCCCTATATTTTAAATAGTAACGTGTTTTGATACCGATTGTTTTTCACCATCCATTATTTTTATTTGAAGGGGATACTTGTTATTCCAAGACAGTTAGAGACTTACACCTCAAGCCCTAAGATGTTTAGTAATTACATTGGTTATTTAAGGGGCAGGTGATAAATAACACGTTAGCAATGAGAACGAGAATGCTCATCTTTATTTAAAACATGTGTTTGATCGATACTGTGTGTAGTTATATAATTTAAAAAAATTTAAATTGCTTAATCTTAATTCTTATGCTATAAATCCGATCCTAGAAGTAGGTTTTTTTCCTAATAAAAATAGTAATCAGAAAAACATATTAAACTTTACGAATATTAAGTAAAATTGTAATAAAAATTAGAAAAAAAAACGCGCGATACGTACCTTCTTTGGAGCCATTTCGGCTACCTAAAAACTAAAATCGAACAATACTCAAGTGAATAAAAATATGTTTTATAAATAAACGCTTTTAAAACATCTTCCGACGAATTCGTAAATAATATTTGATTTGTTTTCGTTGACAGACTGGTGCGCGCGCAGATTTGCGTTGCCATGGTTACGGGGTAGGGGTCCGCCCGCAGTCTGGGTTTCTACTTTCGGCTGGAACACCGCAAGGAGGATTTATGTGTCCCTAATAACTAAATTATCCACACAAATACAATTTGATATTGTTCGGTAAGAGTAATGCAACTTTATTTTATGTTTTGCGTCTTAGAGTTATACTTTAAACTCAATTTCATAGTGGTTTCCTTTGTCTAAGAACTGAGGTCTATTTTAATATGGCCGTATAGATCGGTTATTGATGAGGGTGACTGAGATGCGAGATAATTTTAACAGTTTAGAATTGTAAAATGTAACAGTACGTGTTTACTAATTAGCATTTTTGTATATTTGTTAAAAGAAGCACTCATTGACACCTGATTCTTATATAAATTGGGTAATGTGTTTCTTTCAATTTTGTATTATAAATTAATAAAACCTTAAAATTAATTATTGTACGTCTGATGATCGAAACTCGACCAATAAGGTGTGAGCTTATGAGAGAAAATTTATTTTTTACATATATGTATGTATGTATTTTTCTTTTGATTATATGCATAATATCATATACAGTATTATCGTATGTGGCATTATATTAATGGCACTTGGTACGATTTTGGTTTCCAACTGTTTCCTCCTCCAATCAATTGCTCATTGCTGAGCATCGTGATGCGCCCGTTCTTCAACTGTATAAAGAAAAAAAACAGATTTTAGGCAATTGTTAAGAATGGATTAGGAGGTGACATTCATTTTTTAACTAGTTAGAAGCTCTAGGAATAGATATATCATGATACCACTCGATAACATTACCTACTGCGTGTGCGAATTAACGCGATCGGAGAGATTTAATTGTTTAATAAAATAATTATGAACAATTCCATTAACGATGCTTTTAGGCACCACAAGCACCGGTTACCGTCCTCGTCAAACCCGTCGCTTGCGACGAAGGGCTGGACGAGTGAATTAACCCCCAGACACAGCTCACTGATTTTCTCGCCGGATCGTCTCAGTGGGTCGCGATTCCGATCCGTTGGTAGATTCTGCGAAGCATTGCTCTTGCTAGGGTCAGTGTTAGCAACACTCCGGCTTGAACCCCGTAAGCTCACCTACACACGTTAGGGTGAAGCTGGAATAGCCTCTCAAGGCTATCAGCATAGGTAGGGAAAAAAAAGAACAATATCATCATCAACAGCCCACAGTCGTCCACTGCTGGACATAGGTCTCTCCCAATCCACACCACTGAGCCCGGTCTCCGGCTCTCCTCATCCACTTCAATGACATTCACTTCACACAATCCAATAAATATAAGTGTTCATTTTCGTTTTCAGGCTTCTGCCCTAGACACAAAAAGGAGTCAAGCTGGCGGCCGAAGAGGAAGATCATGGGCTGTTGCTCCCCTTGTTCACGGAGCCCGAGGACAGTGGCATTGACAGCGACGACACAGGTCGAAACGCATCGCGAAATCGTCTGCAAGAAGACGCACAGGTCAGTGCTAGTTAACACTATGTTTTATGGCCCCAGATCGGAAGACAAAGAGACGGATGACCCGTTGCTGTGTAACCAATTAGCAGCATATGTAATAATCTGATCTTGTGCTTGACTTTAATAGCACTGCCCGCATTGTGTACTGTCGTTGTATTCCTAATTTTAATGTATAGAGACTGCCCCACCTTTAAGACCGAAACACTATTTTGTTTGATGGAATGTTATAATCAAAGCCACTCAATTAAAGTTGACCAGGGCTATTAGCGATATATAGTGGTCACCATTGAGGAAATCCTTTGCTCGAAAGTTGTGGGTTTTCCGACACACGTGACCAGTCCACTGGCACTGCAGTATGAATAATACGTCAGTAACTTTGCTCAGTTATCTGACCGACAGTTTACGAAAGGTAGTCGAAAAGAAACATAGCCCACTGAGTTTCTCGCCGGATCTTCTCAGCGGGTCGCGTTTCCGATCCAGCGGTAGATTCTGCGAAGCACTGCTCTTGCTAGGGCCAGTGTTAGCAAAACTCCCGGTTAGAGCCCCGTGAGCTCACCTATACGTCAAGGAGAAGCTGAATAAATAGCCTCTCAAGGCTATCAGCATAGAAAAAAAATAAAATAAAAAGGAAAGAAGTGGACGAGAAGAGTCTAAGACGAAGCTAGCTAAGTGCAGTACCGTGGGCTTTGTATGTCAATGTGTATTTGTTATCTAATATTTATATATCAAAGCACTAATGCTGTAGTTAGGCTACCCAAAGCGACCAACTTAAATAATAAAATTGCTAGTGGCCGATGTTACGGTTGCTTTGTATTGTATTTCCCTTTCCCTTAAATAACATGACGATTTAAATATTAGCTTTTATTTTACTTCCAGTTGTCCATTGAATTTGATGTTATCATAGGTTTGGCCTTTAATTATTAGCTAGTTCACTAGATATTACTGGAGTTGCGAACCCGCACGAGTAGGCACCACCAACCTGCCTATTTCTGCCGCAAATCATTAATGTGTTTCGTGTTTATGTCTCTGGGCTAACCACTTAACAGCAGGTTGACCGTCGGCTCGTCGACCTGTCTAAATTACAAATAAAAAGTCACTCTTAGACGAAGGACCAAGAATTTGGCGAGCTAATTTCCGAGCATCATCTCTGACATTAGAAACTATATATTGTACTGTTTAATGTTTGTCACAGCAGAGCGAATCAAGTAGCACTGATGATGAAGAGACCATACCCTGGTGGAGGATACCTATACTAAAACATTGCGACGAGGAATTGGCGGTAAGTGACTGTCTGATGTCAACGATTTTGCAGCTAATACCTGCGCTAATAATGTTTCCCTCGCTTATTAAAAGTTACGGGAAGGCGTGCATTGAAATTTAGAAACGTTTTGTAGGTTCAGAATGTTATTGGTATTTGAACGGGCCTCCGGGCACCAATAATCCTTCAATCATAATAATAAAGACATTTGAACGAGTGTTACTTACGATTTTTTTTTTCATTCCACTTAGACTATCAGAATGATTGTAGCGTATACATTATTGCACACCAATAAGAAGGAAAAAATACACCACAAAAACAAACAAACCGAAATTATAACGAGTTATATATGAAGAGTAAGGTACTGTACTGGTACTATACCTTTTTTTGGTACGCGGTCGCCACTCGAGAATTTTTTACTGATGGTAGGACCTTTTATGCGTCCGCACGGGTAGGTACCACCACCCTGCCTATTTCTGCCGTGAAGCAGTAATGCGTTTCGGTTTGAAGGGCGGAGCAGCCGTTGTAACTATACTGAGACCTTAGAACTCATATCTCAAGGTGGGTGGCGGCATCTACGCTGTAGATGTCTATGCGCTTCGGTAACCACTTAAAACCAGATGGGCTGTGAGCTCCTCCATCCACATATGCTATAAATAAAAATAAAAAAGCTTTAGGGCTCCAGCAACCGTCTGTTCTACGAGCAATTTGTTACCGTAGCCTCGTAATAATTCGGGATAAGTCAGTTATCTAGGTTCTTCAGGAATTTCCTAATCCCTGTTTCTATTTAGCCCTCTTTGAGTGACTTTGAGCATACTGATAAGGCCTATTGTCAGTCAAAACTTAACGATAAAATTACTTAATAATAAACACAAACAATTAAATCACATAGATAATCCAAAACATATAAATAAATAAAAAAGATTATCATCAAACATTGGATACGTAAATAAACAGAACGTGAATCTGGTTATAACATAAAAAATAATGCAGTTGAGATGTAGACTAATAATATAATTTAATAATTGTAGTTATTAATATTCCGAAAATGTTTTTTTTTGTGCATCTGTTTCTCATCCTTTATCATGGTATTATCTATAATAACAACCAATATAACGTCTGTTCGACACTGCGGAATAAAATAGCATCTCTTGTCGTCGAGTCGTATAAGGCAATCGAGGGATTCACTGGAGAATTGGCATCAGCATTTTTTTTTATTGCCTGGACATGTGGACGAGCTCACAGCCCACCTGGTGTTAAGTGGTTACTGGAACCCATAGACATCTACAACGTAAATGCGCCACACACATTGAGATATAAGTTCTAAGGTCTCAGTATAGTTACAACGGCTGCCCCACCCTTCAAACCGAAACGCATTACTGCTTCACGGCAGAAATAGGTGGGGTGGTGGTACCTACCCATGCGGACTCACAAGAGGTCCTACCACCAGTAATTACACAAATTATAATTTTGCGGGTTTGATTTTTATTACACGATGTTATTCCTTCACCGTGGAAGTCAATCGTGAACAATTGCTAAGTACGTATTTCATTAGAAAAATTGGTACCCGCCTGCGGGATTCGGACACCGTTGCATCGCTATATACGAATGCACCGGACGTCTTATCCTTTAGGCCACGACGACTTCAAGCATTCTCTGATTATCACACTGTGATCAACAACCGGCACAAACTAGTGATAGGTCCGCATAAGTAAGCTGTACAACCTAACATACAGCCTATTTCTGCCGCTAAGTAATCATGGCTTCCGGTTCGACTAGCCAATGACCATTATTGATACTTCAATCATTCATTTCAGAAAGTTATACCCGTCTTACATTGTGATGAAGATGATGAGGATCTAGACATGATGCAGTGGCCGCCGGTTCCAAAGCCGGATGATCATCAGCCCGTCAACAAGGAGAGTCCGGAGCGTGCTTCACCGCCTCTCTATGAAGTCGAACTTACAGCTTCGGACGAAGACGAAGACACATCGGTTCTCGAACTAGTAATTCCGATGCAGTCGTCGCGTTACCAGCGAGTACCTACGTCGTCACCAAAGAAAGTGAAGCCAAAATCACGAAAATTCTTCTGCAATATTTTGTGCTGTGTCCGCAAGTAAAATTTACATTGTTTCGGATGTTATTACAATGATTTGTATTTTGTATCGATGTTGTAGAATGTAGTTGGATTCTATCGATTTCATAATTAACTTGTAATAACGATTTTCGGGGCTAACTCCGAGCGTAATCTATCAAATATCGTTCATTTAATTAGCCGGTCAATGTGAATATTTGCGTCTTTACTGGTTAGGACGGACTGGAGTAGCATTGGGTGCCTCGGATTCGAAGTGTCGCGAGAGATAATATTGGGCAAATATTTGAAGAGTAAAGCTAAATCGACATTGAAAACGTTGATAGTGCTCAACGAGGCTAGAGTAGAATTCAAAAACGTGTAGGGCTTTAGCGCAAAAAGGTAAATCAGACCTTATTCTAATATGGGAAGTCTAAATACCAAGTTTCTCTCATCACACTCTCCACACAGTCGTGATTCATATGGGATCCTAATCTCATTGACGGATTGAAGTATAAGGTAGTACGGAAGGAGAGTCTCTAAAATTCCTTACGGAATGCTCCGATTTGTTTGAAAAATTACTCATCACTAACAGTGGTTCATAAGTACTATTTCACATCTTTAATACCAAACTGTGTGCGTTTTTCTCGATGTTATTCTTTCAGCGCTGTAATCAGACTGACCTACCTTTAGCACTGTAATGGGCTACTTACCATCAAGCCAAATCAATCGCTGCCCTATGTCTTCAACGGTAACAGCATGGTTGAAGAAAGCGTAGTTTCAGATTGTATGTTGTTTCCAACGCGCATTGATCAAACTGCGTGATTGTCTTAGTCGTAATCTGCTTATCTATCTGCATATCCATTTAAAATAAAGCCAAATCGATTGTAAAACTATAAGGAGACAGGTATTGTTGTAGTTATTAAAATCGTAATTAACATATATTTAGACGTAGTCGTTTTAAATATAATTGTCTTATAATACGTATCAATGATTTGTGATTTCGGATTACGTGAAATTTTAAATATTCATGTATAAAAATTTGTGTTGTCTTTTTGAGCTCAAACACAAACTATAATATGGTCACGCCATGAAGCGCTAACACCGATTTAGGCTCTGAAATCACTTCTCAAACATGTAGGCTGTAAACACTATGATCATGAAATACGAGTAAATGAATATTAGGTGTGTGAGATCCGTCTGGTAATCTCAACTAGTAAAAAAAAAAGAATTTAAGTAAAGGTATTATGTAATTTAAGAATATTAAAACGACAAACAAATTTGGAAAGCCCATACAATGCTTTTTAGATTAACCACAAAATTCTGAAGCAAATCGTGTATCGGTAGGCAGCGGCTTGGCTCTGCCCCTGGCATTGCTGAAGTCCTTGGGCGACGGTAACCACTCACCATCAGGTGGGCCGTATGCTCGTCTGCCTACAAGGGCAATAAAAATAAAGATTTTATTATTGACATAAAACATTCAATAGCAAAATTAATAGTGTTGGTCGTCGGTTCATTCACTCTAGCGTGCTTGCCGTGAATCTTGATGCAATTATTAACTCTCAATCGAACTCGCTTATTCAATTAAATTAAATAACTTATTCAATTAAATTCAATTATTTATTAATTTAACGAGCGTTCGCGAGGGAAATGTATTCGTAAATAATTAGGTAATATTCGTGCATTCAACAACAACAGCAACACACTAAATTAAAAATGATTCAATTAATTATGACTCTTTGGACTTTAGATATTTTGTTTTTTTTTTATATTAAATTTAATATATTACAAGAAAACTCGGAATCTTGATTATAAGTTATATCCGTTTATTTTTATGGTAATCTACATTCATTATTAATGTGGATTTTCTAGAAATAATGATGTCTGTGGCTCATTTTCTTTTGATTACGAACCAGAATACGTTTCAATATTAACAATACATAATATTATAATTGTTGCTTCTATGCAACCGATTCTAAAAACTGATATTATAGGGTGGGCCAGTGGTGTCCGTACCACTCTGTGGCCAACTGTTTAATATAATTCACTATTATCATCAGCCCACAGATGTCCACTGTTGGGCGCCCCCTCTCACAAGGTTAACCATAATAACAGGTCGGCCTGTGTTGACTGTGTTAGCTTCAACAGGTTGTCGGTTTGTCTTGTGGGATGCCTACCCATGCTTATTTAATAATCTTACATATATAATTAATAATCTATTATATTTTATTTTATAATAATATTTATAATAATTTATTGATATCGCGCGTCGTTTGAATATAAAACATGATGGATAAGTAAAGTATTTTGTCGTGAATCAAAGAATGAATTGAGGCACGCGAGTAATTTTAAAAACGATACGTTTGATATTATGATATTTAATAAATAAAATAATATGGAAGGATGGTGTGCTCGTTCGACTCATGTATGCAGCAATAGAAATGGTTACTTCAATGACGACGAGAATCAGTTTATTAGAACTTTGACTATACGAGTATGTACGTAAAATTTTCATATCAATATCGGTAGGCAGCGGCTTGACTGTGTCCCTGGCATTGCTGATGTCCATGGGCGGCGGTAACCAATCACCATAAGGGAGGCCGCATGCTCGTCTGCCTACAAGGACAATAAAAATAAAGATTTTATAGTTGACATAAAACATTCAATAGCAAAATGAATAGTGTTGCTCGTCGGTTCATTCACTCTAGCGTGCTTGCCGTAAATCTTGATGCAATTATTAACTTTCAATCGAATTCGCTTATTCAATTAAATTAAATAACTTATTCAATTAAATTAAATAACTTATTCAATTAAATTCAATTATTTATTAATTTAACGAGCGTTCGCGAAAGACTGAGTCGAGCCTAATTTAAAATTTTTGAAACGTTCTATCGTTCGTCTAGCTTTCGAGTTGTATTTTTATATTAAACTTTTTTCCATTGTTTTTAAGTTTTATTTTTATAATGCCGTCACGAGACACCTTCAGGATGTGTTGGAATATTTCAAAATTGAATATTAAGCGTTTGTATAAGTGTAACATTTTAAATGTACTATGACTATTCGTAGATCAAATAATAAATTATGATTATTAGAAGAAAAAAAAAGCATATTGTACTACAATAATAAATGGTGGAATTACATGGTGTTTTGATTCTATAAAGAAACCTAAATTTATTTCGAACATTTCAAAAATAATTACGTATTTACATCTTGAGTATTTAATAATAATAATAATAATAATAATTGCATTTATTTACTCCACAATACAAATACAAATAAATTTTCAATTAATATGACATAAAAATTCTAATTCTAAACAATACGAGCTCACAGCCCACCTTGTGTCAAGTGGTTACTGGAGCCCATAGACATCCACAACGTAAATGCGCCACCCACGTTCTAAGGTCTCAAGTATAGTTACAACGGCTGCCCCACACTTCAAACTGAAACGCATTACTGCTTCACGGCAGAAATAGGCAAGGTGGTGGTACAGAAATAGGCAGGTTGGTGGTGTGACTGTGAATTGTCTACCTAGTTTTCCGTCTTAATACATGACCAGTTTTGTTTATATTTTTTTAAATTGTAGTCCGAAGATGCTGTAATAATATAACAGACGCCAACGGAAATATTTTCGTAAAATTGATAGCAGTTACGACTTTTTTTTTCAAATAAATACTAGTTAGACAATAATAAAATAAGAACGACATTAATGAGAGAATAACTTCAAACGAAACTATTGGATCTATTCATATTCTAATGAAATTAAGTTTAAAAAATATAATATGAATATAAAAGAGAAAGGTGAACTCGCCGATTTTCTTAGTTCCACTACTCGTCGGTAGATGGCGCTTAACGTTCAAAATTATTCGATTCAATAAATTTTCATTCTCTATCAATACGGAATAGGATTATCAAGAATTTAGACACGAATTTAATATTTATATTATTAATAAATGTAGAAATTTACAACGCGATATAATATAATGTCTTTCAAAAATTTTTTATTCCACCTGTCAAAGACTGTGCAAGAAACTAGAAATATAATCTACGAATATGTATATGTAACCATACAAGGAATTAGAAAATACAAAAACAACATTAATTTATGACTAATTGCTTTTGTGTTTTCCATATATAATTCTAATTCATTCCTCAAAACGAATATAACGAACGTGTTACGCTTTAGACCACGGGCGCTCTATTAAAAAGACAGTTTGTAAATAAGAGTTTTTTATGGAGCATTAAACATACATTTTTGGAGAAGATTTCTACAAAAAGTTTATTTGCTGTTATACGCACACGGCCCCTCTGATGATGAATGATCATGAACATCTGAGTTGAACAGTCGAAATCAATAAATTATGACTTAAACAATCTAGCCAGATAGTTAATCTTGGGTAACAAAATTTCCATAATTAAAATCCTTTTTTGTTTATTAAAAAAAAACCTCTTCCAACTTTTTACCTCGTCAAAAACTTATTATTACACTTAAGGTCGGTGAACAAGATAAAGCCGAGTTTCCCGATGTTATTATTATTATTTACGTAATTACTGGTGGTAGAACCTCTTGTGAGGCCGCACGGGTAGGTACCACCACTCTGCCTATTTCTGCCGTGAAGCAGTAATGCGTTTCGGTTTGAAGGGTAGGGCAGCCGTTGTACTTTAAAAACTGAGACCTTAGAACTCATATCAAAGTGAGTGGCGGCATTTACGTTATAGATGTCTAAGGGCTCGAGTAACCACTTAACACCAGGTGGGCTGTGAGCTCGTCCACCCATCTGAGAAACAATAAAAAATCTCAGCAAAAAATATATATATAGATACACGACTATATTTACATTTAGCGTCAGCGTCAACATTTTTCACATTAAATGCGATCCAGAATGAAATCAATCATTCTTTTAAGGCCCGAAATAAAAACCGCTAAATAGTCCCAATTTACTCTCAAAAATTAATTTTCATCTTCAAACACTCACACCCGCAAAGCACGCACACATCATACAGATATAAAAGTTATAATTATTTTTCATATCTAACACCTACATCCTGCACTCGACCTGTTCAGATAACATTCGTTAATGAATGGGTTAATATTTAAACTTATCATATAATAACGTATCAGGAAATTTATTAATTTGCGAGGGTTATTCTCGAACATTTCAATTTAATATCATGATTACAATAAGTAATATTCTTTTTTTTACTTGCTTATTGCAACGAAATGCTTTAAATACTTGTGGTATACTATACTGGTGGTAGGACCTTTTGTGAGTCCGCGCAGGTAGGTACCACCACCCCGCCTATTTCTGTCGTGAAGCAATAATGCGTTTCGGTTTGAAGGGTGGGGCAGCCGTTGTAACTATACTGAGACCTTAGAACTCATATCTCAAGGTGGGTGGCGCATTTACGTCGTAGATGTCTATGAGCTCCAGTAACCACTTAACACCAGGTGGGCTGTGAGCTCGTCCTCCCGTCTAAGCAATAAAAAAAATTTACTTTTGTGGCGTAAAGAAAAATGACGTGGTATCTGAGTATTATACCGGCTGGTATTTGGCTGTGGTAGGAAGTGATCTCTAAGGGCGAATTTACATTACGAAATTAGTGGCATGAAATTAATTTCGTGACATTACTTTTACATTAGTTTTTAAAGCTCTCAAGATCTTCATCTGCTAATTCAGAGACTAACTTCATTGCACCTAAATGCGTTCTTGTTAATCATCCTCGAGCCTACCAACGTCTTTTTTTCTTGATAGTCTTTTTTTAAGTTTTTAGGTATATAAGCATTTCTTTAGCTACATTGAATATAGCAAAATATAGCTTTGATGCTGATGGCGCCATGGTTACTTTTTTTTATTTTTTATTTTATTGCTTTCGATAGGCAGACGAGCTTACGGCTCATCTGATGGGAAATGATAACCGTCGCCCATAGACATCCAAACTACATCAGTGACTCAGATGCGCTGCCTATCCTGGCCTGGATGGGCAGCCTTATGTATGTTACACCGGCTATCCTGTCCTTCAGACCGGAGCACAGTATTACTGTTTTGCGGCAGAAATAGACAGGACGGTGGTACCAACCCGGGCGGGCTTCTACACAGAACCCTACCACCAGTACTGCGATACTGCGATACTGTGGATTTCGCGACACAAATTTTTTTTTACGAAATCACTTTCCCATATACGAAACTACTTTCGTGAAACTGAGTTCAACATGCATGACACTTATTTCGTAATGTAAATTCCGCATAAGTTAGCCCGGCTTTGCACTACCAATTTACTAACCACTTATTTTATACCGAGAAGTAGTCGTGCGTTAATTTTATTCTTTTTTTTTTCATTGCTTAGATGGTTGGACGAGCTCACAGCCCACCTGGTGTTAAGTGGTTACTGGAGGCCATAGACATCTACCACGTAAATGCGCCACCCACCTTGAGATAAGTTCTAAGGTCTCAAGTATAGTTACAACGGCTGTCCCACCCTTCAAACCGAAACGCATTACTGCTTCACGGCAGAAATCGGCGGGGCCTAGTAAAGGGAGGGTAAAACAGATTTTAAACAATAGAAATGAGACTTCGACGTCATTTCTCAAGATATGTGGTGCCATTTAGGTTTAAGGTAACCATTTTACATCAATTCGGCTGCGAAGTCAATAACTCACAAAAACATAAAAAAATAAACGAATTTAATGGTACTTTGTCAGCATCACGACGACTGATGGGATGATTTTAGCTGTGGTTTTGGTTTGACGGAAGGAACCTGGTGTCGCTCGTGAACTTCAGCAATACTGGGAACACAGTCGAGTGTTTCCCTAATTTTCTAAGTCCCTAATTTATTTTTCAAATGCAAATGCTGTTGATCCTAGTTTATTTGTAGTAGGTAATGAAAATGAAATTTGAATACAGCAGTGATTTATTTACATAGGTCGGGATGCTTGACAACCAATTCGTTTTGTGTGTTTTGTTGTGTACGGTAACAAATAAAATGGCGATATATTTTCCTAGAAACGGTACAAATAAAGTGTCACTGATAATAAATATACTATTGATAACCGAGCGAACTGAAACGATTTAGTTACTTTGTAAAATGAAATGTATAATTTGGTTACTACATTAATAGCGAAACTTCAAAGAGAAATTTTAGTAATGAAGTAAGGAAGCATAAATAAAAAGTTTTGCGAGAGCTTTTAATCTTAACAAGAGTTCCCGCCTTACTGAACGTGGAGTAAGGTCGGCGTACATTTATTTCAGCATATAGACGCAAGTAATTCTACAGGTCTAGTCTGAGCAGTGAGTAATCTCAAAATTCGTGTTCGGCAAAGGTTTATTAGCGGCGCGCTTTTAAGCGTGAGACGCGTCGCACACGTGAAGGCTGTTTAATCGCGTCTGAACGAAGGCGGCGCGGCGGCGGGGCGGCGCCCGAGCGGCAGTCGCGCTTCAAGCCCCAGAGGGGCTGCACGTGTCCTCGCACCCGCTCGCGACTTATGTAACCAACCGCACGGTGAGTCCGCAGCCTCCGAACTCCTCCCCCACATCGACCCCGCGGCTCGAACCCACGCTCTCCGACTCGCGCCCGACTCATATCGACTGATAACCTCGCGCCCGCCCGTCTACACTCGCCTCGTGCACTGACCGTCAGCTGAGAGATGACATAATCGATGCAGTAAGTACCGGTGTTACGATCATTCGATTATTGTGGAATGCTGCCGGTGCGTTATGTAACGGGAATCGAGACACACCGACTACTTTATGTCTCCAAAGGCACCGTAAACGAAAGAATACGACACTGAGCTACTTTCTCAAGAAAATGCCACATTCAGTTATTTTATGCGGCCACTGCTCGAGTAATCCTTGACTGCGACTTCACTTTATTTATTTATTACACTTCATGTAAAATTTACATTGGCGGCCTTAATGCTTAAGGCATTCTCTACCAGTCAACCAAAGGTAGTGCAGAATGCAATGAAATATTCTTTAATAAAATATTCCCAATCATCTTCGTTTAAATTCGAAGTTATTCAGCATGTCATGTTTTTGTTTGTAAGTATGGTCGTAATCAACTTACGTACATAATAACCACGTGTTCCTATACGGAGTGGTTAAAACTCATTTCCTTTTCATGAATATGGTCAGAGCTAGAAAAGTTCTATAGGAAACCGCCTAATTGGAAGGTCGGAGTCGCATACGGATCTTTTCATTCGCGTAAAGTACAAAAGTCAAGCCCGGGGTAGGTACTTCATAATATTATTTTTATTACATAATATTATGTACACACGTCTTCAAGTCAAGTACGTATTAGTAATGATGTCGTATAAAAAGGGATTTTACCGATTAATGACAGTTTTATCGAAGAAAATCCAGGATGAAGCGTATGACAATTTATCACGACATTGCTAGCGACATTAAATACGTATAACAAATTAATTTGTGGCTACACGTTAACTTGAGACAAACAGTTTGATAATTATAAAGTTAATCGAACTATCCCTGAAAATAATATGCGTTGCTAAAAAAATGCGATCATTGAAAATTTAGAAATTAATTTGTGGCTAGACGTTAACTTGATACAAACATGATAGTTTCATAATTATAAAGTTAATCGAATTATCCCTGAAAATACTATGAGTTGCTAAAAAAATGCAATCGTTCAGAATTATCATTTTGCGATTTAATATCACTTTTTTCTTATTATCTTAATATTATAATATTTGTGAAGTTACGAATAATTTAAAACATTTCGTAGTAAAAGTAAAAAGTAAGTGCCTAGTTTTAATTACGTATGATACCCGCGAAAACCCAAGAAAATAACCACACAATCATTTTGTTGAATACAAACTTAACAGGCAAATAAAAATGGAATCATCTTGTAACGGCTTAAAAGTAAACGTTGTTCAACCTAAATTGTTTCGTGTCCTTTATTCTTCAGACAGATTCATTTTTTCGGGATTTCCCATTTCATATTATTTTGCTCTTTGTTCTGAGCACGCGGATGAAATAATCTCAGAATTATAACACAATAATGGAGACCTATTTTGGTAGGGCGTATTATAAGTCCGCGCGAATCATCATCAGCTTATAGCAGTCCCGTGTTGGACATAGGTCAGCTTATAGCAGTCCGGTGCTGGACATAGTTCAGCTTATAGCAGTCCAGTGCTGGACATAGGTCTCTGGAATAGCACCCTCCTTAGCACAACCCTCGGTTTCCCTGATCCAGCTCTTGCCAGCCACCCTGCGTCACTCCACCGAGCCTTACTGCACTACGTTTCCCAATTCGACGAATTCTCCACTTCCACACAGATAGATACTACCATGCTATAATTTTCTGCCGCGAAACTGTCATACGTTGTAGTTATTTACATAATTGAGTTTTCGATCTCGTGTTTCAAGGTAGATAGGGTCATCGGCGTTGTGTTGTCTATGAGCTCCAGTGACCACTATAAATCACCGTTACCAGTCTAATACCATAAAAAAGAAAATAATAATTTTACATAATTATGAACCATTTTGTATTCGTTATTACGGTAGATTATACGGTAGATTTTTAGTAATAAGTGGTAGTTATACTTAACTCTTTACGAATTAATGAGTGTACCATTCAATGAAATAACGTATATCAAATGTGGTAATGAAAAAATAATAAACGTAAGGTCCGAATCAAGAATCCTCTTGCAGTCGATTCACAATTGGCGTAACTACTGAGTATAAAATCTGAACTTGCCCGATTAAGCATTATGGCTATTACTAAGCAATAAAAAAGAAAACATACGATCTCAATGGAGAACGTCCCCGTGAAGTCGATTGTTAATTAATGTATTTAAAGAATCGTGTTCGCATATTCAGCGCTAATCTTTCCTTTCTGATTTATGTGTCAAACCTTTCATTTCCATTTAACTATTTACTTTATTGCTGAACCGTCATCGGATTTGATATCTTTCTTCATCTATGAACAGTGTTACGGAATAGAATGTTTAGTTCATAATGACTATAAATCTACATAAAAGACTATATTTATAAAAGCAGTTGCGGCGTCCGTTACATTAGCATAAATTATGAAGATAAAAATATTTAAATTGTTCGCAAAGGATACGGGAATTGAATCGAATAGCACAAAAGATTTAAATCAAAATGTCGTGCCAAAAAGGTCCTTTAACCACGATTTTAACTATATGTGACTAAAGACAGCAAGCAGTCTAGAACTCCAGTTTTTTTTTATTGTTTTTATTTTTTGCATGTGTGGGTGAACATTACGTTACGTTACGAATAACGTTTCTCACTTCATTAAACTTGAAGACTGGCTCATCTAGTTACGATCTTAATCCATTTGAGGTTTTTTTAGTCTCCCTTTGAGAGAGTACAGCATGCTCTAAAGAGCATAATTCATTCATAATATTTTGGAGCTTTTTCATTTATTTATTTTTTATTGCACAGATTGGTGGTCGAGCTCACAGCCCTACTGGAGTTAAGTGGTGACCGGAGCCCATAGACATCTAAAACGCAAATGCCGCGATCTACCTTAAAACTTTAGTTGTAAGGTTTCACTTTTAACTATGACTGCCCCACCTTTGAAACCGAAACGCATTACTGCTTCACGGCAGAAATAGGCAGGGTGTTAGTACCTACCCGTGCGGACTCGCAAGACCTCCTACCTCCAGTATTTACGAAAATCATTCAGCTTTGTATATCTCAAGATGAGCATTTGTTTAACATCGAAGCAGCCTTGAAACTTTTCGACCCATCTTAGTTAAAACGCAACAGCAGAAGGCGATATCCAAATATCTTAGTTAATAGCTCTCCTCTTGGATTTCATCTCGCAAAATGAAGTCGGTTCTTTTATTTTTGTTCATTCTATGGTTTGGCTCACAACTCTATCAACCTTATACTCTTACTAGTAGGATGGTAATTGGTAGGGTCGAAAAACCAAAAGTAGATGATGGTGACAATCTTACCTACTTAATGGCAGATACTCAAACAGACTTGATTCATATACATACACATGTTGCTGAAAAGCCTGTCACAGTATTATGACATCATGAGAATGAATATGCAGGTTGATTTCTATCTAGTAAAACAGAACAATTAATTTAAAGCAACGCACGCGTACGTCATTGTATGTGGGCGCCAATACATTGACCGTTTTCATTGGTAATATATTATCGATCTTGTATTTGCATCCTGCCGAGTATCCCAGGCGTGGGTCGATGATTTATCATTATTCAGTATGAGTTTATGCACCGTTAGTTTTCGCACTGTGTTGCATTGCGATATCGATTTTTTACGAAAACATTTTGATGTTTCAAACTTTGTCTTGGTGATATTTTACAATTTCTGTTATTAATTTCTGTTCTAAATCTCAGTTTTTACTGTAAGTAACTACAACGTTAAATCAATTTTCGGATTTGTCTTGTAATATATCTCAGAATAGGTCCCGGTTATCGCTTAATACGAAGTGGTCTATGAGTTCTTTCACCCGTCTAAAGAATATGCAATAGAACAGTGCTATTTAAATGGTCTGATTCAGTTTTATAATGCCCATAACGGGCTTATAAAGCTCCGATACTTTACTTATTATGCGTAGAACCGTTATTGTTTTATAAACTTCAAATATATCAAACCAAATAAACTCTGTTCTCTCGTCTCACACAAAATTACCGATTTTTTAGTTACAGTTATATTATGGCAGTGTAGTAAAAACGCCTGAAATGTCATTTCGGCTAAATAACATGTTCGGGAATAGTTTTTACATCCATTAAAAATATATAAAATTATATATATATATATAAATCACAACATAAAAAGTACATTGTTAGTTTTTGCGATCTTTAACTAAAGTTTTTGCGAGCAACCAACAAAGTTTTTTTTTACATTCGGTTACATGGGTAATGTCAGGAAAAAAAAGAGATATTTTGTTACGTAGCATAGTATTCGACGATTTAGAATAACAAGCACAATATAAATAGATTATTATTATGACTCATTCCAGCTCTTAGTATAATTGCGGAGTTGGAAGCAGAAATGATGCGGTCGAGTTGAATTATCGTAAGTTTTGTAAAATTACTAAAAATTACCCAGTCTGCTTAATTATAGTGTTATCGAACAGGTATTACAACGCAAAATATTATGGAATGCAACAAACAAAAAAAAAGGTTAGATTCTCTAAAGACCGATAATTATATTCCACGCGATCCGTTAGACCTAAATCATTTATAATTCAAATAGCCTTTTTCTGTATGAAGTTAATTGCGGTAGCTGATATTTATGTACTAAGGTCAGTACCCAAATATTTTGCTTTGAAATCACAAGTTTTTAATCAGGCGCGGAGTATCACTCTTTTGAAGTTACCCAAAAATTTCGAGGCCTACCCTGTTTACCTTTCAAATAAATCGATACAAATGCTCGAAATGTCAATAATCCCAATAGTTTGGGAAATTTGTTTGGATTCTCCTGGGAATAGCATCGGCACGATAAATCAGTCGTTTTGCGCACTAAACTGGCTTCTGCAATGGGTTGAATTGAACTTAAATCAAATCACCACATTCAGAGACCCGGCCCGCAGAGATCTCCTTCAGACACAAGTTTCGATCGCCACGCTTGCACTTTTCTGCCGGGCTAACTAGAAAGCGCGACTTCCAGTGGCTTGTATTTCTTCAGTGAATTGTGGCGAAT